CAGCTGGGCCTCTCTCTAGGTTGCCTGAGGTGAGGGGCCTCAATATATGGCAGCTGGCTTCTCCCAGAATAATTGATCCAAGAAAGAAAATGAGAAAAGGACCAAAAACAAAAAACAAAAAACAAAACCCACAACAGCAGCTCATACTTCAAACTTATTAGGAAATCTAGGCCAAGGCGTGTTCCACCTGGCCTAAAACTCTATACTTCCCTCAAAAATCTCACGCTCTCTCTATGTATACCCATTGTGACCAGGATCTTGTGACTTTCTGGAAAATGATTAAACTTTTAGATAATTTGGAATTGTAGTGGCCACTTTGGGGAAAATAACTTAGATCTAAGTCCACCTGAAGGAGCGCTCTTAACAAGAGAGAATCTCAAGCCTCTCAGTGGCAATGGAAAGCACTCGTTGGTATGCGGAAGCTTCTAAAAGGCAAAGTGACTTGAAATAATAGCTCAGAGAAAGTCAGCTGATTTCAAGAGTTCATAAAATTTTATTCCATCAACCCCCAGGAATTGGACTAAAATGTTCAATGAAACCACATTTCTTTCTTTCCCCTAAAAAAAATAAAAAAAGAAAGAAAGAAAGAATAATAGCTCAAAATCAATCGGTATGGCATGCAAATAAATCTTTAATAAAAATCTTTGGCCATGTGAACAGGTTCACCTTAACTTTGTCCATCTGCCAGAAATAAGTTCTGTTCCAGCTGTTCTTATATAAACTAATGAGTTTTGCATTGCGCCTGACTCATGGCTGAAATTTTAGAATGAAAACTATAAGGTTTCTGTTTCTATCTCTCTGTATGTTTGTGTATGTGTGTGTGTGTGTATACATATATATAATAGATATGTGATATTTTTCTATGTGATATTTTTCTATGTCTGGATGGTATTGCCAAAAATAGCTTGTAAAAATAAGCTTTAATATCAAAAATATATTGGTGCAAAATTAGGATATGGTTTTCTCTTTGTTAAAAGAACAATTTCCTTGTATTATTGGTGGATGGAACTTGAGGGTATTATGCTAAGTAAAATAAGTCTAAAAAAGAGAAATAGTGCATGATCTCACTTATGTGTGGAATCTAAACACAAAGCAAGCCCATAGATATAGAAAACAGATTGGTAGATGTAGGTCAAAGAGTACAAACTTCCAGTTATAAAATGTCATAGGAATGTAATATACAGTATGGTGATTATAGTTAATAACACTGTATTACATATTTGAAACCTGCTAAAAGAGAAACCTTTTAAGTTCTCGTCACAAGAAAAAATTTTCGTAATTATGTATGGTGACTGAGGTTATCTAGTCTTATTATGGCAACAGAAGCTAACTAGTCTTATTGTGGTGATCATTTCATAATATATACAATACTTAATCATTATGCTCTATACCTGAGACTAATACAATGTTATAAGTCAATTATACTAAATTTTTAAAAATTCCATGAAATCTTTTCAACCTGTTTAGGATACATCACTTGACTATGCTTTCTACTTAAACCTTTTTTAAAATGCAAAAATTATAATTTTAATAACAAAATTGATTTTCAGAAAATTGATGAGGTGAATTTAAGTAGTAACAAAAATAATTTATTTTTTTAAAAAAATACTTATTTAGAAACAGCAGCATTCTAACAACTTCCTGGCATTACTTCTTTAAATACAAAAACAGTTCACTTCTGTATTTGAGTCAAGGAATTTGATCATCAGAGAGCAGTAGCATTCTAGTTGTCTCTTTGGAAGCCTGACACAGAATGAGAAAATAGAAGGCCAGCACCTGCCAGGAGTGTATGAAGCGAACAGATCTTTAGCTCTATGTCTAATTCACTGGTTAGAATTTGGGAGAACCAGCACCTGGCACCTCCAATAGAAACTGCAATGGCAACAGCCACTACAGCCCCTGATAGAAGGTCTGTAAATTTGCATCCTTCGCTTCTAGGACCTTTCAAGTCATTCTCCCATCCGTCAATGATAAAAGACATATCCCTGCAAATGTAGACCTATGAATATTGAAGTGCTTTTGATCAAACTTGGGACACTTGGCCAGTTGCTCCCAATTTTAGGCAACTTCTCTAGATCTTGCTCACACAAACAAATTGAAACTAAAACTCTCTCATGGGATTTCTGTTCTTTGCCATCTTAGTAAAAAGAGAAATAATTATAAATTTGTTACTTAAAAATATTTCTGATAGAATCCAATATAAAAAAAAATGTTACACTGCAATTTTTTAGTAAGAAAGATTGTTTTCCTTATGCTACCAACCCCTGAAATCATTCTTCAATATGTGTGGGACCCCCAAGAAAAGCTTGACCTAGCAGTTTTTCAGGATTCAGTTCTGGCTATTAAGGGTTTCAATTTGTGTTTCTTACAAACTAAGTAAAGAGTAATTATTTTTATGCAAATGAATGTTTTTAAATGTTTAATTTTTGAATTCATCAACTGATTTGCATTTTATTTAAATAAAATGAGTGAGATAAAAATAGATCGATAATTGAATAAATATTAATAAATGTCCAAAATTGGTACATCAGTCACGTATTTCAAAGGTTTCTAAACACAGCCATTGGAATTTGCTTTGGGCTAAAAGTTGGCATTCAGAGTTGATGGTGGAGACGCAAATGCTTTTCCAAAGAGCTGTTTCTATTCATTAAGCTCTTCTTACACGTGAAGCAGTGGGGAAAAGGGAAAAGACAAACACTTTCTCGGGCTTCTCAGGATTTTTTTAATCTATTCTGTGCAAAAATATGGCTTACAGTTTATTGCCAAAATGTAGGAACCTGAAGATTCCCAGTCTACATTTTAAATATAACAAGTATCTCAGTCACTTGCAGAGTAATAACTTTCAGAATCTTTGTACTGAACTATTAACAGTTTGTACCTTTTTTACTCAAGCAGAGAAATGTATTTACTCACAAGAGCCATGGACCCAAAAATGCCCAATTATAACTATACCATGACAATTCATTGTTTTTATCATAGATAAACCAATAACTTGTATAATTTTTCTTCCATGAGGCAAAAAGCTGCAATAATCATTTATTCATAATTTCATTCTTACTGGAATGTTTCCGAAACAAACAATAGGTAATGACAAACCCATGTTCACATCAGATGTCATCTCTTTCCATCTTGAAGTTTTTTCCTGTATCTTAGCTAAGGAATGAAATAATATTTGAGATTATAGAGAAGGTGATTTCCATAGTGCAGTTTAAAGTTTACTTTTGCCAAATAACAAATAATTTTCTAGCAACTTAAAACTTAACCAGTTTGTTGAAACAACAAGTCGCCCTAATGAAGTCCTTAATCTGGACCTTTGAACCTTCGATTCATCCTCTTTCTTCACCTATTTCTTTGTCTAAACCAGGACGAGTATACTGGATATAAATAAATTGCCTTTTAAATCAAAGTTGTATATTATCATGACTTTTCTATATTATAGATGGAGGTATTGATGATATAAAAGTTTAGGACAAATGTATACAGGCCCAGAAAAAAAGTCCTGAAAGTTTAGATTTTTAAAAACTGAAAACCTTATTGGAACTTTGCTGTTTTGTTTTTATTTTATTTTTCTTCTAAAGAAAAACTACAGAAAAATAATTAAGTTCATTGAATGTTAGCTAGTTATCCATATTCCAAATGCTCATAAAAATTTAAGATAAACATTTCATGTAGGAGAGCAGGGAAGACAAGTGGAGATTAAAGCATATTTTCATTTCATTTTGAATTCTGCGTAACAAAAGAACAGCTTCAACAGCATAATGAAAATCATGGTCCACCAATCAAATGATCCCCCCAGAACTATTTTTCCTCTCTCAGTTATTCCCCTTTCTGCTAAGAGAACTCAGTTATCACTCTGATAAATAAACCCCAGAATAACAATATTTATCTGTGGAAAACATGTCCCGCAGCTGGAAATAGTGAAGCTCTTATTGGCTGTTGTGCCAGAGAGTCTGTTTTACTTTAGCTTCTAAATCCCACAGCAAATTAATTAATACATTGATGTAAATGCTTGTCTAGTTATATTGGAAAATTTTGAGAGATGGGCATTTAGCAGGATGTTGTGTCTTGATTTGTTGTTGAAGGCTCTCGTTAGTTAAATTGGTTAGAGTTCTCACTTTAAAAACTCTGTGGTTTGGGGTTTCCTCTATTACCTACTATCACTGTTCACATGAAAACATATATATTCCTATGCAGCATGATGGGGAGAATGTGTTAGTGTTCTTCATTTGGCTTCTTTAGTTAATCTTTGAAACTCTTCATATCCTAATCCCCAATTCGTACATTTACAAATAAGATACCTTACGTATTTCTTCTTCGGTTTATTTTGCTGGGATTGTATACAGTAATTACTTTTTAAAAGAAAGTTGAATGCCCATAAACAATGCTATATAGATAAGTCTCTCTCACTTGGTACAGGGAAATTGAGCATTGAGGCCTTCCACTGCTATTGTAATTTTCTCAGTTGACCTATTACAGTAGAATGTCAGCCATAATCTTCAGATACTTTGATTTTTTTAAAGAAAAAAATTATCTTCATCTCAATGCCCCTACTAAATAAAGACTCTATAAAAGAAAAAAACTAGTTATAATTAATTTAGGAGACCTCAATTATCTTCTTATGTTCATTCATTTTTGGCATTCTTGAATAACTGGCCTGACAGTAAACCCAAACTGTGTGCAATGCTCTTTGCCACAACTGTTTTCCAGAATTGAGATTGAAACTCCTAAGTTGTTTCAACCAGGCAACTAATAAGCAATTTAGATAGTTTGTACAAATTTAGAGGTATGAGATGCAAAATCATGAATGTATTGCAACACATTCTTCTTGTCAGAACCATTTAAATCATCATCTTACACAAGTACATATTGAAACTCAACTTTAAGCATTTTATTTTTATGTACATTTCATTTTGTCCAGAAATAAAATATCTAAATACAGACAGACTGTAATGTTGTATATGTATAGCTTTCAACAATACTTGAGCTGAATAAATGCTTTGTACATCAAGTTTCTTTTTTTAATGGAATTCACAGCTACATTGATAAAATGGATTCCTCATATCCTTTTTTTCTTTTTTAACCAATAACAAGCAGAGAGACAAGTACAAGTTAATATTAATAAGCAGCTCAAATAACACTTGGTTAAACTATGTACAATACAAACCATTCATACAAATGAAGACTAGGGTATTGAATTTGTTACAATATGTGTAGTAAAGATAAGACAGACACTTACAACTTACATGGTGTCTGTCAGGCATTTCCCTTCTTACATAATGATCAGAACTTGTTTTGAGCGGCTTCTGTTGGTCTCAACTTTGCAGAAGTCCAAAGGTTGGTGATGAACGCCATAATCCAGTGTCTGCCCACGTGTAAATTCCAAATGTTTGCTCATCTTTACTGAGAACAGGCTCCCTCCATAGAAAAAAGAGCCATCTTTTATCACCTTGAATGTGCCTACCGTATGCTGGAAAAAGTTACTACACTTTGTTGTTGTTCATAAAATAAAGGATACTGAGCTCTAAAGACATATTGTTTCCATGTTAACAAGCATATACTCCTACAGTAGTATTTACCAGCACAGCTACTCCAAGCAGTAGGAATGCATGAGTGGGGACTATTGATTAGCATGTACTCAAGACTTCAAAAGAGATTTCCACAACAGCAAATGTTAGAAACCATTCACTGTCTAGTTAATCCTTTCGCTTGATGATATTTCATCCTGAACCATTGTGAGTCAGACAATGAAAGCCCTCTCGACAGGAATCATGACAGATGCAAGCTGAAATGTGTAAAAGTGTGTGTTCGTGTACATCTATGTGTGAAAGCATGTCTTTGAGTGTGGCTTTAAAATCTGGTGATTTACAACTATACTGAGAGATGGAGCTGACTGGGCAGAGTTACATCTGATTGTTTTCCACTAGCATATTTGCAGCCAGTTGACAAGAGCAGCAGTGTAGACACATTCCAGGCAACAGATGTGACCTTCTTCTTTGAGGTAACGGCCCTGTCATATGACCTATAATTCCTCAGGCTTCAGTCTCAAACTCATGTTCATCCTCATCCAGAGGGGAAGTAAGGTGTGTCGCTGTGGTAGTTGTAGTCAGGGCACACTTTCTGTACTAGTTTATAATCTGTACTATAAAAAGAAATGTAAATACAGATCACCTTGAAGGGCTTGGAGCAGAGCCAGGATACATGACTTTGGGTCTGCTCCTGGTAACAGGTTTTTGAAGGATCATAATTGCAGAGTGTGTTCTTGGTAGCCTTGTCAACCTTTTCATATTCAATGCGACAGTTAAAGGACTTGGAATCTTTGGCATCAATCACGGTTTGTTGTGCCAAGTCGAATTCCACTATTTTTGTCGGGGGCACCAAGCTGACAGATACATTCCCTTGACCAGTGGAATTATGTCTGAAGTAAACACTAAACGTCCCATTGCCATGATCTACAATTTTCCCAGTTATCAACAGGTTCAGCTTCACTGTTTTGATGTTGGAATGAAAATCACCCCATCCAAACATTTTCTTAAACTTGCCCGTCTTAACAATGGGCCTTCGCTTGGCCCTGGGCCGAGGTTCTTGAAGGTCTGTGGAGTTCCTCAGCCAGTCCCAGAGGTCTTGCTCAGAATAAGGTTCTGGGGTGTCATATCGCAGGTCTAAATCTGTATCATTTTCTTTGCCACGAAAAGTCTGTGACAGGAGTCGGCTGATAGACAAGTCTTTGCTGCTTTCTGTCCATATGTGCTTTAGTGTGGATTTGCTGCTTCCTGATTTTAGAAGTTCTGACTTTCCACCATTTGTTAAATTGGCACATGTGACCTGAAAACAGAACAGAAAATGGCATTTACGTTTCTGTATCTGAGAAGAGTCAACACACAGGTCAAAGCCATTTCAAAGAGACTCAATTAAATGATGACACTTCTTCTTAAAGTACCTTCAGCATCTGGCCAATATTTATTAGTATGTAACAAAATACCACTTCTATTTTTACATAATGATGGGAGAGAGGAGGTGTGGGTGGATTAAGAAAACCCCACTGAACATGACTAAAAGACTGTAAAAACATTGACTTTGATGAGTGAAAGGCCAGCTAACATGAATAAAGCAAATGGAAATCAAACTAAAGTAATTATTTCTTAGCACCAAAATCTAAACACTTTTAAAATAAAACTTTATAATTCAGGTATTTTTCTACTTCAAAATTACTGTAAACTTTAAAACTGTATGATTCTCTGAAATACATCAACCAATATCCCATAGACTTTTGTCAGTCCATGCACAACAATATTAGAAAACCAATAGCTTTGCAGAGAGACTCTAGTACACTTTAATTGGTCAAAACAAAAAATGTTTATTATTACCTATTATAAGTAAGGAACATATTGCATAAGACATGATTTTTATCTTAAGAGTTTTAAAATGTGGCCTAGGCAAAGGGGCATAAATGAAAACATCTAATACACAGTACCCTGTAGTAATTCTCAATGTAGAGAAGAAAAAACAAACAAAAACATGTGATCAATATGAGAGAGGTCCCTTTAGGTTGGACCAGGAGGGTCACTTTCAGAAATTGTTCTCCCGGGACTCTTTAGAAAGAATGAGTTCCCCAACTAGCCCAGGGTTTCAGAGAAACTCTGAAATCTAACTGATTCATCAATTGGTCACGTCTGTATTTGCATCATTATGGAAGCATTGTCTTTATAGCAACCCCTATGTAAAGAAATAAATGCATGTCCACAATGGCCTCATTGGCTTAAAGTTAAAGCAGTGACTTCCGATCCTCTCACGGAGGGCTCAAGAACAGGAGGGAATGGAGTCAGGACTCACGGGAACCAAACCAGCCAGTACAGATTAAATCCTTTAAGATGTGGACTGAATCTTCTCAGATAAGGCTGCTGAAGGGCATCCTTCCCTCAGCTGCCCATTAAAAAGCCAAGTTTCACAATAAACCTCTATTGCCAGGCCCCTTCAGAACCATTCTGAATCCTGCCTCAGGCCTGAGCCTCACTACCAGCAGCCTCACTGGACCCTCTAGTCTCCTTCCAAATTAGTCTCACAATGAGAGGTCAGTCCTGGAGAGCATTTTGAATTCAGGTTCACTAGGAATTAGAGCTGCCTTCTAGGGACCTCTTTATAGACTTAGCTGGGAACACCTCTTGTTGGCATACAGCCCTGGCCTGAGACTAGCCTTTTACTCACTCACTCGTGCTAGGAGGACACTGCCCTCACCCCCTGTGAGCGAGAGCATTACCTTCAGAGCCAGTCTCCCTGAGATCTGCGCTTGGCTCTGCCACTTCCAAGTGGCACGCTTTGGTCAAGTGAGAGTAATAATGGTGCCTGCCTCACAGGGTCGCCATGAGGACCAAGTGACCAAAGACATGTAAAACCTTTAGAACATGGCTTGCATGTGGGAATGCTTCAATTAAATTTAGTTATTCTTATAAATCCCAAGCTGATATGTAAAGACAATTAGAGAGAGAAGGGAACCAAATGGTTTATACATGGAGGACTGGCCTGAGAGTAGCTTTGTTCTCGAATACAGAGCCAAGTACTCAGAACCTGCATGGGATGTCCCGCCTGCAGGGAGCCTTGGTAACCTAAGCTAGAACAAAGTCACTTAGGTCTTGTTATCTTGCCTTTTCAAAAATCCCTTAGGATCAGTGAGCTCTTCACTACCAGCTACCAGCTAGCAAATAGCCTCTTCTCTCCCCAGTTCAAACTGAGGCAATGTGAGTGATAAGTCCCACCTGGGAAAAAATACCAACCAAGGCTCATCTCTTCCATTCATGCTGAGCTCAGGAAGTCCTGTAAGTTTAGCCCCACATAAATTCATTGCAGCTGAGAGAAAACGCAGTTTATTGTTGGGTTTATGTCTCATGACTGCATCCTGAAAAACCAACACTAAAAGTTTAGGTAGGCTAATACAAAAAGCTATGTCAACTATTTTGGGCTCCTAGCCTGGGTCCAGTTGCATCTGCTGTGATACCCAAGGCAATAGCAATGCCCTCACAGAAAGATCCGGAGGCTAGTGTGCACAGAAGTTAGTGAAGGAAAGACAAACATGACCAACAGCAAAACAGATCCTAGAGACAGCATGAGGCACAGAAAAAATGGACAGATTACAGTGGGGATGGGGTCACATCTAAGGGAAGCACAGGCCTGCTTCATGCACAGTCACTTTCTGGACTCAACTCTATCACCTAACAAAAGGGAACAAATCCCCTTGTGTATAATCAGAGATGGTTATCAGATGAGCCATTCTTGATCTTGGGGCAAACGCTGGGAATTGAAAGAAGGTTGTCTTTGCCATCAACTCTCTTTTAGTTCTAGATCCTTCCCCTTCACTTCTGCTCAACCTTTGAATTGACCGCTCCTCTTTTCCCCAGCACCAAAACTGTTTCCTGTTTATAGATTCTCTTCATGCCAAAACATCATCCCAGAAATGGGTCACACTCAAGCAGTATGGAACTGATAATAGCAAAATGGTTGCTTCATCTAAAGTCATTTTTTTAACAAGAATTAAATATTAAGTCTTAAAGGATGATGATTGAGAGGGAAACACTCTTTGGAGAAGGGACAATGCACAGAAACATACATTTTCTTAAAGAGAAAAACTTGAAGCTTTCCACCTATCCTCTCTGTCTGATAATAAAGCCAGTCTTCTGTAGGACAATTTTTATTTTAATATCAAAAACATAAGCCTTCATAGTTCCATAGTTAATATAGAATAACCATTACAATTACAAAATAGCAACAACTAAAGTTTTCTACAAATTTAGCAAAAGAGGTGCATTTCAAAATACATTATTTTTCTATAACAGAGTAACTATAATATAAAATGTATAATGAACATTAGTGAGAAGAATAGTACAGATCTTTTGGATTTGGTATTTATTGTGTTTGTGTACATTTTGTTTTGTTTTGTTTCACTGAAATCTAATTGATTTGGTCAAACATCCAAATCTGTACTTGCCTAATTAAATAAGCATTATCCTTAACATAGCCTATATATTTATGTCCTAATCTAAAAGACATTTTAAAAATAAATGCATATCCTATTCTCTCATTTTTATCTGGAATTGCATCGTTTCCCATTCTCTGGGTGGCAAGAAGAGTAAGTGCAGCATGCATTTGGTATCAGCTTGGTACTTGTATCTCAGCATCAGCACACTTGATTAAGGAGAGGGGCTGTAATGAGACACATCCATGGTGCACTGGCTCATGAAGCAGCAATGAAATTGTCCCAAGGAAGGAGGCCAAAGGGAATTAAAGAGCAGTTTACCAGCGGCATGATGAGGGGGAGGGTGGTGAGAGGAAAAAAATGTGGAAGTAGGAGATATGATTTCAAGGAAAAAAGATCCAATATATTTAAAAGGATTATAAGACTATGGCAGGCAGATAATCCTCTGATTTTCAGGTAGAATAGAAATTTAGTTGTAAATTATACTCTTGACAGCTATAATAATTATGAATGTGAGCTCCAGAGTCAGACTGCCTGGATCCCAATCCAGGCTGTGATCTTAACAGCTGCATGATGCTGGCAAGTTGCTCAACTTGTTTGCAGTTCTCTTCTATAAAATAGGAGAAAAATACCCATCCCTTTTCAGAGCTGTTGTGAGAATTAAATAGGATACTCCACTTAAGGAACTAAAACAGACAGTATCTGAATTATGTTGAGTGTTCAACATTAGTATTACTAACTATTGTACTATTATCCTCTGAATCCCACTGGGTAATATTTTATGTAAAGGAATTACTTATAATAGGATTTGAGAGCAAAAGTATTTTTCAAAAAAAAGTTTCCTTTACATAACCCAAACCTAAAGCAAACAATTAAAAAGAAAGCATATATCCTTTTTTTAATTCTCACCCAAGGACATTTCTTTATTGCTTTTAGAGAGGGGGGACAAAGGAAGAGACAGGGAGAGAGAGAAACCTTGATGTGACATAAGCATCCATCCATTGCCTTCTCATACCCATCCCCGCCCGCCCGGGGAACACACCCTGAGCAGGGATGGACTCTGCAACCTTTGTTCAACAGGATGATGCTCCAACAAACTGAGCCACACCAGCCAGGGCTGTCTTCTTATTCTCTCGTCCCTTCACTTTTACTTAGAGTAGGAGAGAGGCAGGGCAATGACTAAAAGAGAATATTAATCACTGATCATGAAAAACCAGGACGGGTACTCAGGAAAGCTGCCAAACCTTTCAGTATAAACAACCCAAATTTATGTTGTTTTATTAATTCAATAACTATATAGCGAGACTCTGCTAATGTTGAGTTAAATAACAGGAATAAAAAGATAAATTTGTATAAAATAGGAATACAAAAATTTGTATAAAATAGGAATACAAAAATACAAAGAGACATGGTCTTTGCTCTCAAGATGTTCACAGTCTAATGGGTAAATCAATTAAGCAAATAACAGTGTGATGTGACCAACACTGTGCACAAGAGTCTAGGGGGTATAGTCAAAGTTAAACAGAGAAGATGTAGCAGAAGAGATGATCCTCAAATCTGGGAGATAAAAGAGCTTTAGAGGTTGAACAGATTAGACAAGAGCAGTTCTTCTAAGAGTAAGGAACAAACCATGCAAAAGAACAGAGTTGAGACAAACATGCCAAGTATAAGACTGAAAAATAGCTCCTTACTTCTGAGCCTTGGGGAGCATTGATATGGAAGAGAAACAGAGAAAGAACTTGCAAGAAGTCAACAGAACTTGAATAAAGTATGCTATAGTCAAATTGTAAATATTCTGCAAAGTCAGTTACACTTACCTTATAGGCAATGGAGAGCCACTAAATTTTATTCTGTTTTG